CTGTATGATGGTCAAAGGTATAAGTTACATATGGAGTGAATTTAATAAAGGATAAAATTTAAAGTGCAAACTGAATCATCGAAAATATTCGACGGAAAGTGGAAGTACTTGTTCCTGTAGTTGTTAATGAAGTGAGGTATTGTCACCGAATAAGACAGGATAAACCAGAGCAGCCAGCGGGCAGTATGAACCTCTTATAAATCGACTGAATGGTCTCAGTCAAGTGAGATTATTTGCAACCTTCACTAAGAGTACTAGGTTAAAGGAATCTTCCACGATGCTCATGAGGCTAGGGGCCTAAGGGGTATCGTTTTTCTGGGGTAATGGGGGCGGAGCTTTTTCCGCGGAAGATTCCTTTAACCTAGTACTCTTAGTGAAGGTTGCAAATAATCTCACTTGACTGAGACCATTCAGTCGATTTATAAGAGGTTCATACTGCCCGCTGGCTGCTCTGGTTTATCCTGTCTTATTCGGTGACAATACCTCACTTCATTAACAACTACAGGAACAAGTACTTCCACTTTCCGTCGAATATTTTCGATGATTCAGTTTGCACTTTAAATTTTATCCTTTATTAAATTCACTCCATATGTAACTTATACCTTTGACCATCATACAGGTACTGCCTTAGTTTTTAGCGTACACACTAGATATAAATAAGTAGAAGTGTAAGTAAAGCTTACATAAAAAGTACAGTCAAAGATCACAGCACATATGATCAGTAAATCTCTCAACACCACAGAAAAGACAGCGAAGCTGCCGAAATGAATGAAGACACCGTATTCAGGAATAATTTGAGAGGCTCCACATGAGATCAACGAAAGAGAGAGTATCGGTATTTGGGTCTCCACCACGTGGGACCTATTCTGCCTATCAGGCCATTAGTGCTGGCCCTCGTGATGGCTTCAACACCTGATTTGCTTCAGACACGACATGGCTCGTCCTCGATTCCGGAGTCACACAAGGAGTTGCACTCAACTGGGTGCAGCTCTGAAAAGGGAAACTCGTTGCCGTGCTTCGGACGGCGACACAACGAACCATGAGCTTCTCGTGGTCGTTCGGAGTTGTGATGGTCAGCGCTGAAGCTTTCAATGAGCCGCCTCCGCTGCGGTCGAGTCGACTTATCGTAGATGAACAGTGCTAGGTAGAAACCGTTGAAGCCAAATTGCAAGTAGTAGGGAACCTGAATCAACCCTTGTTAGATCAATCTCAAAAGAGCAAAATAGCAAAGTTCAGTTAGAAGGTTTTACCTGAGCCATGATCCTGTATATATAAAAGAGTTCGTTGTCACTGTACTCAATAATTCCAAGAATGAGCCCCAATCGGGACAAGTTTTCTGGCGCATTGAGGCCCACGTCAATGAGCGCAATCACGAGCCATCGCCAAAGATATCCAGAGTTCCTCTAAACTGTCCTTTCTGTGCAAACGTCTCTTGACAAAATGATTTGTAGATTGTGTACTATTAGCACACAACAAAGGAGACAGCATGTGTCAGCCAATTTTTGAAATAGGCCAGCCACGAAATCGACTTCTGTTTTTTGAGTGCCGTTGCTAAACAACATGCTTGACCTTCTGACTACACAACTAGCCACTATCCACGAGGTACTCTATTCGATTCTATTTGGTTTGAAAATACTCGGTTTCTCTTCCCTCCCCGTCCGTGCGGAAATCCCGCTGCGAATTCGAACCTATTTTTGCAAACTCAATAAGAAGTGGGAAGCTTAGTCGTGCTGTCCGAAAATCAGGTGCGCGTCGGAGTGGCATGATCCCACACCTCAAATGAAACGACGTGCCATTGGTGGTAATCTGTGTCAGCATTAGTGATGCCCCCTGGGATAGTTGGTAAGATGACAGTCTGTAATTGATGAAGACTAATAGAGTACAACTTTAACCTGCTAAATCATTTCACTGGCAAGGAACATCATTAATTTTGTGGGTGTCGTCGTCCCTTGTGGTGTGTGGTCTGCACTTGATGGGGCACTTGGTTCTCGGAGAGATTAAATTCGCTATCAATGGAATTCGGAGAGGGTTCGCTTTCATAGTCAGCCATGTAGAGCAAACACAAGGTTAGAAAACTCGTTCGCTTCCACACGAAGCAAGCAACGACAGCAGTAATAGTGACAACTATACCAAAAAAGGGGCCCAGAGTGGACAGTTGAGGAGGGGAGGTGGAGGGGAAAGCTTAATCCGCTGCGGAGTTTTCGGACCTTCTATAGAAAATAGCTCTGATTTTTGGTAAAGCTTTTTTTTTCGTACATATTTTAAAGCAATTATCATTGGGCGGAAGTGGTGTAGTGGCAAGTGGCACGCTTACCACGCGAGCGGTCCGGGGATCAAATCCTGGGTCGTGAGTCGCCCGGGCCAACCAAGCCTTCCATCCCTCCGGGGTCGGTTAATTGGTACCAGACTTGTCTGGGAGGATAAAAACACTGACTTGTACATCGGCTGGCCCCCGCAAGTCATTGTATAGGCCACATCGCATTCAAACGCCACTACGAATGTACAAATGGAAGTAGAATGCGTGCCGCATCCCAAGACGGGATTGATCAACGGCAAAAGCTTTATCCTTTATCCTTTATTAATTTCACAAGTTACGATCCCTACATCGGACTCGTGTAATGGGAAGTGGAGCTGCTCATTAAGTGCATGATCTGGAGGTCGAATTCGAGGCCACACCCGTCTAAGTCAACCTAGCTTGCGAAGTCAGCTAATTGGTACTACTCGTTCACTTGATACTGATGGACTTGTCAGATATTGGGACGATAGAACGCTGTACATTTTCTAGCTCTTGTAAGTTATTGCATGGATCAGACCACATGCGGGGTGCCACTACGATTCTAAATGGGAGTGGCAGAATCAATCCCTTTTTGGGATACGTGGCGTATTGGACTTTTTGTAATAGATGGCTATTTTCGATGCAGGACCTGCATACTAAGTAGGTTTGGAGGCTGTTTTGAGCTAACGCTGTCCCAACTCAAATGAATATCATACGGAAGCAGTTACTAGTAACCAAGTAGGCATTAACCGTAACCATTAGTAATGGCACGTACCCATGCTATGAACCTTCTAAAGTCGGGAAAGAAGGGGTAATGTCATTCACTAACATTTGGACTGGGGGCGATATTCCGTCTCAGATCCGGCCGTTCAGCTTTTGTGGTCATCTTTTTGAATCGAAGACCAAGCAGAACCGAGGCGTCCATATAAACGATCGTCAGCGTGGGAATGATGAATGATCTAAAAGAAACACGTTGGATAGAAATAAACACTTCCCAGAAAAGCGACTTACAGGGTGCTTTCAATAAGCAGAAATGCTTTATTTATCTGTTGATAACCAAATAATGACACCATTGTGCAGCCGCCCTTAAAAAATCATGAGTAAAAAATGAAAAAAACAATTAATTTGTCTTCATTCTACATGGGAAACACAAAATATAAACGTGAATTGTGCAAACCAACCGAAGGATTGCTTTCCACAGAAATCAGCAGCCATGCATTGCACACCACGGCAGCGCTAATCACCGTAAACATAGCCTGAAACAAATTTATGCGCTTACTATTCCGATTTGGGTAGTCCTGAAAAATAGAAACACTAGCCAGGGATTTATTAGGGTTTCGCGAAAATAGGATGATAATTGAGCCTCTACGCTTCAAAGTTCCGTGATAGAAAACAACTATCATCAGTGCAACTACGGCATGTTCCGTCTCCGATAAACTGCATCACTTCCGCGGCATTAGGTGGATTCATGATTGCGACTGTATTTGATAAAGGATAAAAGGATAAAGCATTTGCCGTTGATCAATCCCTTTTTGGGATGCGGCACGCATTCTACTTCCATTTGTACATTCGTAGTGGCGTTTGAATGCGATGTGGCCTATACAATGACTTGCGGGGGCCAGCCGATGTACAAGTCAGTGTTTTTATCCTCCCAGACAAGTCTGGTACCAATTAACCGACCCCGGAGGGATGGAAGGCTTGGTTGGCCCAGACGGAGCACGACCCAGG